GCACTGACAAAACCAACCAAGGTGGCCCTGAGGGCAGGGAAGAGAAGGTGCTGGAAAACAGGACAGCAAAGGAGGGCCAGCCCACCACAAGGACAGCACCTTCTCAAGACATGAACCCAAGGAAAGGCAAGGCCACGCAGAGGAAGCCACCTGCAGAGGACCAGCCAGTCCTAAGAAAATCATGTCTTCAGAAAAAAAGAAAAAAACGTTCTTAAAAATATAGTTTTGCTGAGTGTGGTGGCGCATGCCTGTAATCCCAGCACTTGGGAGGCTGAGGCAGGAGGAGCACTGAAGTTCAAGGCCACCTTGGGCTACATAGTGAGTTCAAGGACAGACTGTACTACATAGCAAGAACCTATCTTTAAAAACCAAAAAACAACAAAAAATTATAAAAGTCATGGCTTTAAAAATAAAGTCACTCCACACCAAATGTCCCTCTCTCCAGTCAATGTCCTCTTCTTCTTCTTCATAATCAAGCTTTAGAAAGAAGAGCTGCCCTGACTGGCTCTCGTCCGGTACCCCCCACTCTCTGATCCACAGCAATAATCCTTCCCAAATCACTAATTACATCCCAGGGCTAACTCAGAGGGAGCCTTACACTATTCTGTCCCGACTGCCTGCCCTCGTCTGTCTTCTTCTGTACTAGCCCCGGACTGTGCTCAAAGCTCCTCATATAAAAACAAAAACAAAGAGGCCCCTGCAGACCGTCTTCGCTGTAACCCTGCGTCATGGCCACCAAGTTTCCTGACTGATGCCATCTTATAACCTGGAGCTCCTTCCCAACTCCTACTCACTGTCATCCTCCAGTAGCAGGCCGTCGCCCCGTCCCCATCAGTGCTGTCACCGTCACTGCATTGTCACTGAGGACCTCCCGGCTGCCAAGCGCCCCCTCAGGTTCCCTTGGTCACACTCTCTGTGCGCCCACCACCCGCACACAGTCGCATTCTGGTCCTGGCTGCTCTCGATTCCTCCAGCCTCATTCTATCCCACCCCTTTTCCTACTCCATGCTTGCTCTCTGAATAACCTCATCTTCTCCAGCAGCTCCATTAACAAGGAAGAAAGGATTGCCAAACTTTCTCCCGGCACTGCACTTTGGTCTCCGATCAAAAGAAGTAACTACTGAGCAAGGAAACTATTAACAAGTAAAATAATTATATCCTAACCATTTGGTGCCCATTTGAAAAAGTACACTTCAGCTGAGAAAACAACAGAATTCTCACTGCATTCTTAAGTAATCATAAATATTTACTAATGGTACATGTGCACCTGTGAGGCACTGCACAATTTCCCAAATCCTGATGTCACACTAGAAACCACCACCCTCTTTCCCGTTCCCTTGGATTTTCACATGGTGCAATAACCATCAAAAACCATGCTTTATCAAGTTGCAGCCATTAAAAGGAACAGTATGATCTAATTTAGAAACAAGTATCATGAGACAGTAGTTTGCAATATTGGACAGATGTGAATCAATGTGGCTTGCTTAACCATTTAAAAAATGTTCAATGTGAATCAGTGGTGCCAGGTCTGTCAAGTTTGTGACTCCAGTCCAGACACCTCCTGATACCCAGATCTGATACACAGCTGCATGAACATTACGTCCCACAGGCACCTGAACCTGACCCTGGCCCATCATCTTCTCCCCACACACATGCTGCTGAACACATCTGAGCATGGTGCTGTCAACTAGAACAGGGCACTGCCCTAAAAGCCCCCCTTTAGGGACCCGCACGTCACCCGCAAGACTAAGTCCGGGAGAATTGACCTCAATTCCCCTCCTTCCACTTTCTAACGTACTCCCCAAAGGCCAAACTGACCATGGTCATCATATGTCCAGAAGTCCTCAGCCATCGTGCACTGCCCACGGAAGAATGCAAACCCCTCCACACACACCAGGAAAGACACAGCCAGCCTCCCTTCTTGCCCCTTCCCCCGCTCTGCCATGCAAAACTCCTACTGCTTCAGCTGCTCCAATGCGCCACTGCCCTCTTCAACCAAGACTCTGAAATTCCTTCTCAAGTACTTCCTCATCTCTCAGAACAGTCCCTAAGCCCCAGACGCGGTCCTCTTCTGCATCCCAGTAGCTGGCCCCTCCTATAACCAACGATGAGAAAGACTGAGGCCTGAACTCAGCAGCAAGCACTTGTAGCCCAACAGAGATGCCCATCTCACCACAGCGGCCCCAGCACATGACAAGGGTTAGTTCCCTGTGTAGCAGCATTAAAATAAGTGTATGAATGGACTGGGTCACTCAGGAGGCTCCAGAGTGCCTCAGCATTGCCAGCTCTAACACAGCACTTAGCATACCACACTGTCATTGGCTGTCTCAGTAGATAATGAACATCTTGAAAGTGCTTGTCTTTTATTTCTATAACCCCTAAGATTAAAATAGTGCCCTGTACTTCCAAGCCATTCACTAAATGGTTTTTGAATATAAAAAGATGTGGAAAAATCTGGAAGAATGCACCCATAATATTAACTAAGGTCATCCTGAAGAAATAGGACTACAGGGGCTGGCGATTTAGCTCAGTGCCTTCCTGGCAAGCTTGAGGTCATAAGTTCGATTCCCTGTACCAAAAATTAATTAACTAATTAATTAAAAACAAAAAACAATTCTTAAAGAAAAGAAACAGGATGAGTAGCAATAACATGGAGGAAAGGAACTAAGGCTCCCCCACCTCTATATTTACTTTCAGTGTCTTTCACCATGTGCACTGTTTCTACATGAATGGCATAAAATATCGCTGTACTGCCAGCATAAGATTAAATCCAGGTAAAAATCCAACCTTGAGGAACAATGCATAGGTTATGAGCAGCATTTGATTTCAAAGCCCCCAAAAAATCCCAAAAAAACTAATTTTAAAGGACCACTGAAAAAGGACTGGGAAAGAGAGCGGAAGCCAGATGCAGTGATGCATGACCGTAATCCCAGCACCCACGAAACCGACACAAGAAGACTGCTGAGCACAAGCCCAGTCTGGGAGTTCCAGCCCAGCCTGAACTGCACCTGAGATTCTATCTTTCAAAAATGAAAGAAAAAAAAAATTAAAAGAGAGAGAGATACAGAAAAGGTAAGCAATTTCAGGTCCATTCACTAACATACAACCACTCTTAAATGAAAAACATAAGCTGGATTCTTAAAATATGAAGACAAGCAGTGCTGGCCTGCAAACATGGATAATAACTTTAATATTTAAAACATGTAACTGTTTGCAGAAACACACAAGTAACCAAAAACATACTGCCACAGGCACGTTTCTATGCAAATTGTAAAGTAGGGCTAAAGATACACTGTCAGAGATGGGGGGTTACAACGTTGGCATGACCATTTAGTTAAGTGTGTTCTACCTTTATTTTCAGAATCTTTGAAAGCAGTGTAGTACATCACTGACAAGTAGACCACAAATTTTTTTTGTTTTGTTTTTTGGTACTGGGGATCAAACTCACGACTGAGCGCTTGCAAGGCAGGCATTTACGCCACTGAGCTAAATTCTCAGCCCCATAGATCACAAATTTTAAGCAAATAGACAAAACAACCTGGTGTCTGCAAAAGGCAGTGCAAGAACAATTTTTACATATAGATAGTTCTAGAACAAGCTTCTTTTCACCGTTTTAAGTCAACGTTAAGTACAAGTCAGGGTGGTAAACATATAAAAGAAAACCAAAGTATCTAACTTGTGAGCTTTTAATATCTAAAAAGACAACTTCGGTGAATTTTGGTTCAGATCTTTTAAGATGAAAAACTGGTACTATGCAGAAGCTATCAGAACTCTGAAGAAGGAAGCAGAGGAGATACACTGAGAACTGCCTTTGGGAAAGGTCAAATCAGCTTTTTCTTGTGAAACCTCACACGGAGATAAAAGAACTGGCTGTAAAAATCACTGCATTGTTCCACTGCTAGAAAAAGAAAGTTAGGTAAAGCACATGCAAAAAGGAATTGCCAATTTTCAATCTAACTGGTCCCAGAAGCAGCTGAAAAACAAGTCAATTATAACACTATAAACTCATTTTTTGACATAAACTCGTAGGCATCTTAATGGTTTTGGACAAAAACTCTACAGTGCAAAATATTTCAATGGGCCAGCCTCTCTCCATGTAAAATGAGATTCCGAATGTTAAAAAGTGAAAATGCCATGCCACATTGCGCTTGCAATTTTATAAGCTTCGATGTAAAGTCGCGTTTAATTTTCAGCATTTTAAAAACTCAAAAATTAATTGCAGGAAGTAAACCACTAAATCAAAAACCCCAAACGAGAAAGGATTCCTATTCCACCCAGGAGCAGCCAAGCAAATGACAAACTCCCATTCATCCTAGACCCGTCGCACAGTTTCTAATTAATTAAGAACTCTGCTCTCCACTAGGGAACTATGGCTTACAGAGAGGCCAAACCAAGGAGTCGCCATTGGTAAGTACCAAAGACGAGTGAGACCGGGAGAACGACGCGAGGCGCCGCAGCCGAGCCCCGGGGGAGGGTCCGCGCCGGAGACCCCGCAGCGCGCCCTGGCGGGACGCCCCGACCTCCCTGCCGCACTCGGAACCGCGCGTGGCCCCGCGGCCGCCACGCCGCACACCGACAGCGGAGGAAGAGGGCTGGGCCCGGGGGCGGCGGGCACGCGAGGCCGGGCCGGAGTCAGCGACGACGGCGGGACCGCGGGCGGGCAGCACGAGGATGCGGGGGTCCCGGGTGCGGGCGGCCCGGGGCGCGGAGCAGAGGCCCGGGTCCCGCACCACGCCGGAGCGCACGGGGCAGCGCGGTGGCCGGCGGGTCCAGGGCTGCGGAGCCGCCAGGGCGGGAAGCCGCGGCCGGCTGCGGGGTCAGGCGCGGCCCGCATTGGGCTCCGGCGCCGGGCGGAGCGGGGGGCGATGCAGCAACTTCACTGGCCCGCGGGGCCGCGGGGGCCCGGCCGCGCGCCCCTCCCCGGCGGCCGCCGAGCCCGGAACGCAGCAGGGAACGGCAGGCGGGAGCGGGGAACCGGCCCGGCCGCAGCCCGCACTCACCGGTCCGCGGTCTCGCCGCCGGCGCCGGGGCTGCGCTCGGAGCTCCATGGTCCGGCCGCGCCGCGGCTGCCCGACGCCCCCGCCCGCACCACACCGCACGCAGCGGCGCGAGCGACGCCGCCTCCGGCCGGGCCACAGCCGCGGCCACGCCCCCTCCCGGCGGGGGGCCTGGCCGGAGCGCGAGGGGGGCCTAGCGCCTGCTCCGCCAACCAGGGCCCGCGCCTGGGGCTCCTTCCCCGGGATTGGCGGACACCTCGGCCAATGAAGGGCCAACAGGCGCACGGAGCGTCGGCGCCGGGAGGCGGGGGATTGCGGAGGAGGAGGCTCTCACCCTTCGTCCTCCGCCTCCGCTGGGGAAGGGGTATTTGGCCCAAGACCCTTCCCGAGAGACCGGATAGGCCGGACCGCGGCCATCCTTTTACCCTGTCCGGTTGCCGGGCACCCACTACAGTCGGCCTGAGTTTTCACCTATGTTCTACATCTTACCTGGGCTTTGGGGGCTCAGAGTTCTGTGTGCCTGGGTTTTGAGGGTTTTGAGAAGACCGCGGCCCTGTCATCAGTTGGTTTACCTCCTGCATAAATCGGCCTAACGACCCCACTTACCTTCTCCTGCAGACCCCTTTTCCCTTTTGTACTCATCCTGTCTCCAATTACTGTCCATCTCACAAGTGAGAAAAGCCAGAATCCCTGTGAAACCATCCCTGTTCCTGAGCCTCCCAACCTAAGCCCTGTAATAGTGACTATAACCAGGTGGTGTCAGACCACTGAAGCCAAAATAGACCAGAAACGAAGGGAGCAGAAAAGGAAGAGAAGAAAGAAAAGCCAAGTATGTTCTCCCAGGTCCTAAAGGAAATGAGTTCAAAACGCAGAAGGGAAATATGTCTCGTTTGCATGCCTTAAGTAATTACAAATAAGATCACAAAAGAGAAGAACATTTAAGAGAACAATTCAAATCCTAATAAAGAGCCCAAGGAAAACTAATTCGAGCGTCTTGATCTTGTCTTTACAGACACCTGCTAACAACCGTTCCCAGCGATCAATAGCAAAAAAAAAGCTAGGGGAAGTGCACAGCAGTTGATAATGATTTCAGCAAAGTTTGCAGGACAAGAAAGGCAATACAAAAAATCATGCACTCATCTTCATAAAATGTCTAATTCATCAATCTACATTACTTTCAAAAGAAGGATTGTTATAGCTCTCTTTTAAAATGGATATATACTACTTCTGTATCGTGCCTACTTGACATATACTGGTAATTAATAAGGTAAACAAGATTGTCATGAATAATTACAATGTCCCAGTATTTGAAATATTGATACTAGAGTAATAAGTTTCTGCTGAATCCAACGCTAAATTGACATTTAAATTAAAATGACTTTCCTTCTTTTCATCTTCACTTACCCAGAGGAATAGCTGCCATGTCTATATTTAGGTCATTGATTTAGAGCTCAAAAATATGAAGGCAAAACATACCCAGCGTGTGTTTAAAGTTGCCACTCACATTTACTCTCTTCAGTAACCTTTGCCTTGCATGAGTTGCTACTAGACTTAATTTGCATCAGTCTCAAATTAGCCCTTAAGCATACATTTCTGAATTGTTCGAGTTTGTTTCATACAGGTGACGTCTCCCCTAATTAGATCATCAGTCCCGAGAGGGTAAGATTCTCATTTTATACTTTTCTTTCCTACACAATACCTAGCACAGTGCTAAACTTGTAGTAAACGTACCTCAACTCTTAGTATTGTGTCCAAGATATATATTTGAAAATTATCTCAAAAACCCTGCATCTGTGAACTAGTTTAAGTACAAATTGATCTGAGTAGTCTTGTCAGGACTCTCGTGCCCACCACTAATAGGTGTCTTGCCCTTACTGTTTGAAAAATGTTGCTGTGTCAGGGAGTGAGTTGGTTGCCTGTCACAGCAACTTGACTAATGTGATTACCAGTAGGGGCACATGTTAGCACAAAACAAGAAGTCTGGAATGCCAAGGGTTTTGCAGTATCTCCACAGTGTCATGTGTCTGAGGCTCCTTTTAGCCTTTGGGTATAATGTCCCTGTCGTGTGACTTTGAACTTTTTGCTCAAAAACTAACTGCTCCCTTTCTTGACTTTGCATCACATGAACAATGCTATGGGGGGACAAGCAAAGGACTGAGTATCACAATGGTGCATGCCAACTGAGACTGTTTCTTTTAACTAGTTTTCCATTAGCACCTTACATTTTGCTTCTGATTAGTCAGACCCATGTCACACAATCACATCTATCTGCAAAAGAGTCAGAAGTACTAAGTATTCTAAACTGGAAAAATGTCAGGGCTGTTAGCAAGAGAGAAGAGGGATACAGATTTGGTATCACAGCAGCAGTACCTGCCACTGCTGCTGAATAAATGAATTCATCATTCAGCCCTCATTCTGATTATTCATGAAAAGACCCACTTAAAGAAAAGGGCTACTGAAATCTCAGTAAGAAGACAAACCACCCAATTTTAAAATAAGCAGAAGATGCTTCATCAAAGTAGAGATGGCAATATGCAGCTGGTGAGCAAGCATATGCTCCTCAGCATATGCCATTGGGAAATTAAAACAATAATGAAATCACACAACATTTAAAATGGCTAAAATGCAAAAAATAATAACACCAAATGCTAGTGAGGCTGCAGAGAAACGGGAATGCTCACTCATTGCTGCTTGGAATGCAAAATGGAGCAACCACCTTGGAAGGTAGCCCGGTGGTTTTGTACACAGTCAAGCACAATTTTACAATATGGTCCAGCAATTCACAGTTCTAAGAATTGACCCAGTTGAGTTGAAAGCTGTGTCCACAAAAAAACTTATTCCAGGGATGTTTATTCATAATCACCAAACACTGGATGAAACTAAGATGCCCTTCACCATATGAGCAAGTAAGTAAACTGTGGTACATACGCTATTCACAATGGAATAAGAAAAGAAATTAGCTCAAGCCATAGAAATACATGGAAGAAACTTAAATTCTTATAGCTAAATAAGAGAAGCCAGTTTGAAAAGGCTACATATTTCATGACTCCAAATATATGAATTAGTGGAGATGGCAAAAATATGGGGATGGTAAAATGGTTGGTTCTTGCCAGGGTTCAGGTGAAGAGGAGGGAGGGAGGGACAGGTGGGACCCAGGACATTTCTAGGGCACACAGCTACAATGGTGTACACACATCATTTGTCAAAATCCCCCATTGAGTGGACTGAACAAAGAATGAGCTGTAGTATAACTATGGGGTTTAATTCATAAAATCCAATATTGGTTCATTAAGTGTAAAAACTTGCTACACTAAATACAAGATTTTGTAACAGGAGGAACTAAAGGAAAAGGATGAGAACAGGGAATTGTAAGCTATCTGATAAGTTATTTTGTAAGTCTAAAACTACTAAGAAATAGAATGAACTAATAATTTTTGTAAAAGCAAGCCAATAAGAACCATAGTTAAGATATGAATTTTCTCTTTCTCTGCCTCTGTCTCTCTGTCTCTGTCTCTGTCTGTCTTTCTGTCTGTCTCTCTCTCCCTGTCTCTGTCTCTCTCTCTCCCTCTCCGTCTGTCTCTGTCTCTGCTTCTGTCTCTCTGTCTCTGTCTCTCTCTCCCTCTGTCTCTGTCTCTCTCTCTCCCTCTCCCTCTGTCTCTGTCTCTCCTTCTGTCTCTCTGTCTCTGTCTCTGTCTCTGTCTCTGTCTCTGTCTCTGTCTCTGTCTCTCTCTGGTTTTGAGGACTGCAACCCAGGGCGTTCACACTGAACTACATTGCCAACTTTCTTTTTTAATTTTATTTTCAGACAGAGTGTTACTAAGTTTCCCAGGCTAGGCTTGAACTTGCCATCCTCTACCTTAGCCATCCAGAGTACTGGGACTACAGTGTGCACCACCATGCCTGGATCTTTTAGTTTTTTTAAATCATCTTTGTTTTATTGATGGACCTATATTGCAATCACAGATTCCATCCTCCTCTAGCTACTGGTAAATCTTCTTTAGAAGTTATTCATCACATGTGTTACTCAAGAATGTTTTTATAAATGCTTTTATATTGAAAAATTGTGAATGTATATCAAACTTGGATGAACAGTACCATGAATAGCAATATACCTTTTTCCAGTTTCACTATTTTTTCATGCACCACCATATCAGCTTTGTTTATTTCTTTGCCTCTCCTTCACTCTCTCTCTGTACATGATTTTTTAAATGAAACCACTTGAAGGTAGTTTGAAGACACCAAGATGCTTTACCCTAAATGTGTTAGTCACTATGACACAATATGTGACATACTCAACTTAAAAGGAGAAAGGATTTATTTTGGCTCAGAGTTTCAGAAGTTTTATTTCATACTCAGTTTGGCGCTGTTGCATTTAGGCCTGTTGTGAAGCAGAGCAACATAGGAGAGTGGGGAGTGGAGGGGAGGCAGAGGGTGAAGACAGAGAAAGAGGGAGAGAGAAAGAAAGAGAGAGAGAGAGAGAGAGAGAGAGAGAGAGAGAGAGAGAGAGAGAGAGAGAGAGAGAGAGAGAGAGAGAGAGAGAGAGAAAGGCAGAGAAGCACTGTGGGCCCAATATCCTCTTCAGTGGCACAGCCCCAATGACCTAACTTCCTCCCTCTAGGCCACACCTCCTGAATGTTCTGCCATCTCCCAGCAGTTTTCAGTATGATCCTTTCAAGGACACTGAATCTCTAAAACATAACACCAAATAATTAAGCATGTATCTCCAGGAATAAAAATTTGTTGATTGTTTAGTATCTAAGAAAAGATACAAACAACCTATAAAATGAGATAGTGGAGACTATTCCACCTCTGAAGTCCTCAATGCATCCCTCTTTTATCCTTTTAAATATATGACCAAGCTGATATAAAATACTCTTATCCCCATCAGTTGGTATCTCACTGAAGTAGTAAAATTAAACTTGAGATAGGACAAAGGAGGATTGGACATCATCTGTAGAGATAATTCTGGTGATGCAGGCAACCATGAGTTTCATAAAATCATGTGTTTGTAGCGTGTGGTACACCCAGTCCTGGGCCCAGGAGTGATGGAATGTAGCTGTTAAGCATCATTATGATAACTGAACAGCTCCCCGCATAACCCGAACAAGATCTTCAAAATTGCATTTCTAAAACCTCTTAAAATGTGCCATCTTTGTTCTT